TGAGCATAAGTCACCGAGGGCAGGGGCGTCTCTGCCTTAGTGAGTTCTGCATCTTCCTGCATCAAGAGTGATTGACAGGCCTGGGGAATGCATGTCAGTTCTAGAGTGCTTAGTGTACAGCATGTGACAGGTCTGGGTTCCATTCACAGGAGGGGGGAGGAGGAAGAGGAGCAAGGGGGAGAAGAGACGGAGGGAGAGAAGAAGAGAGATATTATAGGTGCTAAATGAATATTTTCTGAGAAAATGATTTAAATTCATTTAATCAAAAAAGTAGAGGTGAGGGGGCTGGAGAGATGGCTCAGTGGTTAAGAGCATTGCCTGCTCTTCCAAAGGTTCTGAGTTCAATTCCCGGCAACCACACGGTGGCTCACAAACTTCTGTAATGAGGTCTGGTGCCCTCTTCTGGCCTGCAGACATACACACAGACAGAATATTGTATACATAATAAATAAATATTTTTTTAAAAAAAAGTAGAGGTGAGGAAAAACCCAAGGTAAAATCACCCGGGGGACCTTAGTTCAGATCTCCTGCAGTCACATAAAAATTGGGCATGATGAATGTGCCTATGATCCTAGGCACTAGAGGTGGAAATGAGTGGCTCATAGGCGAGTGCTGGCCTGCTTAACCTAAACAGTGAGCTTTAGACAGTGGGAGATCCTGTCTTAAGGGAATAGGGAAAGCGCAATAGAGCAGACACCCAACATTACCCTCTGGCACACGCACACGCGTGTCCTCTAAATACACACACACACACACACACACACACACACACACACACACGAGTCAGTCAAATGGAGGAAAATATACCTACGCTAAGCAAGAGAGAGAAATAACAGGACAAAGATGGCATGGTGCCAGCAAGGGACAAGGATAAAGGGGTTATGTTCTGTCCACCTCAAGTATATGCAGGGAGAGCATCAAAGGACATGGCCAAGCTGGAGGATGCTGGTGCACCACTCCTGTGGACTGACTATAACTAAGGTTCCTGCTTTAGTAAGCAAACACTGCAACCAGTCTGCTCCTTGATCAAAAACTGCTTTGCTGGGAACCAGTTTTCCTAGAAAAAAAAAAAAGAAGGAAACAGAAAAACTTCCAGTGAGGTAGGTAATACTGCAGATCCTTTCTTCCTTTGGCATTAGAAAAAAAAAAATAATAATGCTTAAACCTCTGCCGACAAGACATTGCCCAGGTTCTTTTATTTCTTTTTAAAAATCATGTCTGGACTGAAATATGTTATTACAGGATCACCATGCAGGTCAAACAGACCGGAAACAAAAAGGGCTGGTACCGTTTATTGCTATTAGCAACTGGAGCAACAAAACAAAACGATTAGGGCGGTAAACTCACTTGGTGTTAGGATCCTTCAGCTTTCCCTTGGCTGCCAGGTACTCTTGGAGCTTTCTCCATCTTTCTTCTGCAAAACGTGGACATGCATGAACAACAGAAACTTAACGTGAGATTTTAACCAGTCCCTTTATATTCCTAAAATACGGTACTTTCCTGGAGCTACTGGGGCTCTGATAAAGTCACCAGTCATATTATGTTTGCTGTCAAATTAATACCAACACCACCAGCAGCAGCTTGATGCCAAGCTCTTTACTAAACTGTTTACAGCAACACAATAATCCAATGAGGTATTTTGCTGTTTGAGAGGGTAAATGACATGCTTAAATTTACCCACTAATAGGCAATAAAGCCAGGATTTGAAAACAAGATTTTTAAACCCTTGAGTAAGTAGCGCCTAGGCCAGTGTACAAAACCACAAATGAGCTCAGGAGAGCGGACAGCGCACGCATCTTGAAGGTGCCATGGGGGTGGGGCTCCAGGCCCGTCAGAGATCAGGGTTCACAACATCCTTAAGCCTCAGCCCACATTTTAGCAGTCGGTCTGCAGAGGTGCAAGGACTCGGACTGAGGCAGAATCGGCCTTCTGACTCCTGTCAAAGTTCCGGCCATAACCAGCAATGCCTGGGTGTCCACACGCGGCCGCGGGGCGCGTCGCTCCTTGCTGTGTGACCCGGGTCCAGCGACCTGAAGCTATCTGAGCCTGGGGCAGGCTGAAGTAGGCAGGGGGCGGCCTGGAAGCTTCTGCGGGAGGCTGGCGACCACACTTACCCGCGGCTGCGCTGGCAGCAGGGCCCGGTCCCACCATGACTCTCCGGCGACAGTTTCTTTTTTCAAAGGACGCGCCCTGTTCTTGACCGAGAACTCCGGCGCGCGTCCGGACGCTCCCATTGGTTCCGCGACTTTGAAATTCGCCAACCGGAAGGCGGCAGAGAGGGCGGGATAACAGGAAATGGGCGCCTAGCGGTTGGCCCCGGGGCCTCCTCGAGGCGCTGCGATTGGAGAATCGTGCGGGGCGGGGCCGACCCGGTGTTCTGGTCACTTCCGTGTCTGTGCCTCTGCGCCGGAAACCGGTGGCTGAGGCTCGAGTTGACAGGCAGGCGCGCAGAGGCTTAGTGCTTTTTGTAGCCAGATAAGGACAGTTGTGGCAGTTAGACAAACAGGGAAGAACAACGCTCTGTTACCAGTTAGTCTGGATTTGACTGCAAATAATAGCATGCCAAATGAAAGTGGTCCGTAGTAGTTATTGTTTTCATTCTGTGGCCAAACAAGTTAACAGACTCACTCTGGCATACGATTTCAGAGGGTTCAAGCCAGGGTTGCTTGGTCTCTTCACTTGGGCACAGCATCCTGGCAGAGGGCATGTGTGACGGAGGCTTTCTTTACCTATTTGCGGACAAGAAGCAGAGAAAGGAATACAGGGAGAGGCAAGGGCAAGTGAGCTAGCCCTCTAAGGATCTAGCTCATTCTACTGGGTCCCCACCTCCTACCTTTCACTAGTTCCCAACAATGCCATCACATTACAAAATCATTAAAGGATCACTGCACTGATTAGGCCATGATCAAATTGCTTCTGGAAGTGTCCTCAGAAACACACTCAGAGATTAAGGAAAAGAGAGGAAGAAGATGGTAAGGCGTGGAGAAGAATGTAATAGAGGGTTGGAAGAGCAAGAGGTTAGAAGAGCTAAAACAAAACGAACAAAGAAGATTTCCCAATCGTGAGAAAATTTAAAAACAAAATTAGATAAATCTAAGAATGGAAGCAAAACATGAAAGCATAATAGGTTATTTAAAAAAAAATAACATCAACTACGTAAAGTTAAAATGCTACCAAAAGTTCACTAGACAGCACATTGATGAGCACTTGGGAGGCAGAGGCAGGCAGATCTCATTGAGTTTGAGGCCAGCTTGGTCTACAGTGAGCTCCAGGACAGCCAGGAAACCCTGTCTTGAAAAACAAACAAACAAAAAACCCACCAGAAAGAAAAAAGAACCATGGAGAAAAGAGAGTGGAAGGAAGAAAGAAAGAACCATCATTACCATAAGCATAATTAATTAGATGAGTGTTTGAAGGGCGATAAAAACCAAGATCACAAAAGGGTGTTGTTGCTTGTGTTGTTTTTAATATGATAAGGACAAGACCCTCATGGTTAAAAGCCCGTACTGCTTTTTCAGGCCACCACAGTTGGTTGGTTCCCAGCATTCATTTTAGGCAACTAAAAGCTGCCTGTAACTGCAGCTCCATGGGGTCTGACAGTCTGACATCCCCTTGTGTGACTAAACATTTCCTGGGGAGACACAGCATGCATGTCTTCTCACTTTGACAAGGATTCCAAGACAGGCCAAAAGGAGGATACCACCAGAATCCAACTTGGTGGGCCGATGAGTCTTACTGGGGCTACATACAAGAATATGGGTGAGAGTTACTGTACATGCCAGCTATTCTGATCTTTTTCAAAGTTTTTTCTTTTTTTTTTGAGATAATCTGTTATTTTTTATTCTGAGTTTCTTCTTCTCTAGGCCACAGGAAAGCAGCTTCCAGTCTGCTGAAAAACAACTACTTGTTTTTGATGGTACTTTGAGTTTGTGTGGGCATCAGAATGCACACACACCGAATATGTATTGTATTCACTAACTGAGCCTGGGGATATAATTTCCAATGCTATCTGAATACTGGCAGCTAACAAAAAGAAAGAAAAACTATGAAATCTGTTTTTTAAAATGTATTTTTTGAGATAGCAATGAGATATAACAAAAGGTAAGAGGGAACAAAATTCATCATAGCAAAGTTGGACAAATCAAGTCAGCAGAAAGATAAAAGAGACCAAAGAGAAGGCACAAGAATCAGAGACCTACTCTTTCGCATACTCAGGAGTCCCATAAAAATACTAAGCTGAAAGCTACAGTATGTATGCAGAGGACCTGGTTCAGACCCATGTTGGCCCTGTGACGACTTCTTCAGTCTCTGTGAATTATTATTAGCTTTGCTCAGTTGTTTTAGAGGGCCTTATTCTCCTGATGTCCTCAATACTCCTGTCTCCTCCTGCCTCCACTTCCATGGGGTTCACTGAACTCTGAGGGGAGGCATTTGAGGGAGATATCTCCTTTAGAGTTGTGTGGGAGCCTGGTTTTGTGAAGTGCCACTAACTGTGGTGAGTTATCTGAACGTCTAAACAGTTGTTCCTAACAGTGAGGTAAGGAAGACAACAAACAAGCCTTCACAATATTAAAAAAAAAAAAGCAAAGCAGCTGTTGTGGGACAATCTTTGAACACTGTGAAGCTGTGTCTCTGCCAAGGTGCCTTCTGATTGGTCTAAAAAAGAGTTGATGAGCCAATAGCTAGGCAGGAGAGGGTAGGCCGGACATCTAGGAAGAGAAAGGAACTCTGGGAAGAAAAGAGGCAGAATTAATCAGTGAGACCTGGGGAAGCATGGAGGAGGGTAATGAGCCATGTGGCAGAAAGTAGATGAATATAAACAGGTTAATCTAAGTTATAAGAGCTAGCTGGGGAAAGGCCTAAGTTAGGGCCTACCTTTCATAATTAATAAGAAGTTTCATGTCTTTATTTGGGAGCTGGTGGTGCAAAGAAAACCTGGCAACAAACAACCATCCCATTGCAAAACCCAAGAAAAAAGATAACAAATAAATATATATTACTTCAAGCTTGTTTTATTGAATTATGATCAGCAACAATGCACTGATTATTATTGTTGACAGTCATGCGACGCCATGGTTTGACAACAAAGTTGGAACCCAGAGGAAACACTGATTGCATCCTAGGAAGAAAACTCCCAGTAGCAATGATGTGGTTGTTGATGTGGTTGTCACGGTTCAGATCTTCCCATCCTTGGATTGCTGGATTTAATTACAGGTGAGGCTGAATGATGTAAGAATACCCAGACAGCTTTAGGGACAAAACGGGAAAAGACTGGCCCAATAATCATCTTAAATGAACTGAGTAAACAATACAGATTTGTGGTCATAATTACAGGGCTCTCAAGTATGAGAATGTAGAGAGAACTTCCTGGCTGTGGAGAAAGCGTAGCGTCTACGGCATGGAGCTCGGGAGTAGCTACATTTGACTGACTCCACCTAGAACACCCTGCTGCTGAGGATCCTGGTCAAGCTCAGAGGACTCAAGGGTGTGCCATAAATAATACAATTATCATAAATATATTTATAAATACATATATAAAATAACTTAAAAATAACATTCAACATTCTGTCTTCTTCTTGAGGCGTGTTACAGGGGGATTTCATCCGAATGCTCTCATTGGAATAAAACCCACTGAGGTAGGAAAGATGCAGCTAGTGTCCCCTTCCTTTTGAAAACGAGAGAGTTAGGTTTTGAGCTGAGTTCTTCTAACTTTACCCTACTCAAGCAGCAGTTTGGAAGCAGAAGGTACACGGTTTGACTGACAGCATGGGGCTGTGGCTTCTCATCCCAACTGCTACTGAGTACTTTCCAGTTTCCTTATGCTGTAGTAAACCCATCTCTCATATGGGTAGAATTCTTTTGCTCACACCAGCTCTGTTCCTCCTGAGAACGTCATGAAGAATAATAATTAAAGTGATTAGTACTGTACTAAGTACAGGGTGCTCTTTAAATAACAAATACCATTGTATGTCGGGGTTGGTTGTATTAGGCTCTGCTCTTCTCTCACAAAGAGGATAAACATTCATTTCGAATTACAAAGGCTCAGCACATGCTGTGCAAGTGACTCAGGGTGAAGGACCTTCCTGTACATAGTACATACGCTGTCAGCACTTCTCAAGTCAGTGGACTCCAGAAACAGGTTGCTCTTACAAGATCTGGAAGTCTGTCATCGAGGGCAGCCCCCTCGCCAGGTGCACCCGGCTCTGTTCTTTGGTGGCGAGAAACAACTCTGGGTAGGCAGCTGATGTGAAGTAGTTCTTAGTTTTGATCTGTGTCCAGAAGAAAACGAGGTCGACCTCACTCCCCGTGATGACTTTCGGTGTTTTAGGCAGCTCCTGTGGTGAGCAAAACAGAGTTCCGTTGGTGCACGAGAAGGCGTCGGAAAAAAACTGGAGTGTCACCTACGGTGTCTGACCTTGGTGACAGACAGCACTCCAGAAACCTGACTCAGATAATGATCCAGGCTCCTTCGTTTGTTCACTCCACAAACATTTATCAAGCATGCTTGTTCGGTGTATGGTCCAGACTAATCATAAGAGTTAATTTCCTTAGTTAATTGGAGAGAAATCTAAATGAATCATGAAGACAGGCAATGATACCAGCATCTCCCTGTATCCAGACAAGTGGAATGAAACATCGCACGTGTGTATTCTGTCTTTAATGCTGGCACCGGGCCCTCTCACCAAATCTGAACGCGGATAGTTCTAAGACCTCTAAGCATTCTGACCCCCTGAGTGTACAAATTACACATTTCTGGAAACAGTAGATCATTGAGATAGTATTTATCTCTACATTTCAGTCAAAAAAGTTAACCAAATCCATACACACAAAAATAGTTAACTGAACCCCCACAATGCTTCCCTGACCGATTTAGCTGCTGGCTGCTTTAAACACAACCTTTTTAGACTGTCCTCTTCCTTGGAGTGTGAACAAATTCTAACAATAACCTTCATGGAAAAACACATGTCAAATTATGTGTTTGTTAAGACTCCTTTTTTGAACTCATTTTAAGCTACAAGCAAATAACCTGATCAGCTCCCTTGGGGTTTCAAATCAGCAAGAAACAGCAAGATGAGACCTGCTCATCTCATACTTGACCTTCTCCTTGGGTCGTTCTGCCTCCGGGTGACTAGACAAAGTCTGTTCCCTTCTACATGTTCTCCTTATCCTTCTGCCATACTTCACCTCTAGCTTCCCAGCTGAGCTCTCTGCTTCTCTAGTGCTTTCCTTACAGACTGCTGTCCATTTAAGAAATGTAACTGATACCAGCACCCTGCATGGTCTGAAACCCTTGTGGCTTTCAATTGTGTATCAAATGGCCGGGACCAAGAGTGCTCCACTGATTCTTGTGACTGGTTTGTGGGTTCATGAAGTGCCAGGAAATGCAGATCCTTATGGGAGTGGGATGGCCCACCTGTACCTCTTATTAGCCAGTCTTGCTAGGGAGCTCTGCTTTTGTCTCTCCCTCTAAATAACATGCCACCATTTTTCTCTCTTAAGACCTTGTGCATTTTCTGTCCAATACTCTCCGTTTTTGTTGTTGTCTATTTGACTTGTCTATTGTCTGTGTACTAGAGTTCTACGTCCCATAAGGTTAGGGATTTTGACCTGCTGTACTCCATAGCTTTTAATGCTGTACTTGAAAAAGAGAAGGCTCTCGGTAAATAATGGCTTGTTGAATGAAGTCATGAATGAAGCTACTGCCCTACTTAGTAGATGACAGTTTCATTTTATTTGATTCAGACGGAGAAATACGGGTACCCACATGCATTTTAGGGAAATTGGAGGCATTGGAGTATACATTTACTGAATGAGAGTCATATTCTTCTCCATGGTAAAAATGTCTAATGCTTAAATGTAGGGGTGTGTGTGTGTGTGTGTGTGTGTGTGTGTGTGTGTGTGTGTGTGTTTGAGGGAGATGACTATAGAGAACATGGGGATGGAATGAGAGACAAAAGTATCACCAATGGACCAGTGGAGTGAGAAAGCTAAGGTGTGAGTGTTGTGGCTCCTCGCTTTTGGTTTCATGTGTGTTACCAAGTGGTTAATTCTCTCTGGTCTCAGTGGGCTTGTTTGAGTTTCTTTTGAGGCTTGTCCCATTGTCATAATGCCCAGTACTACGCAAAACAGATGGAAGATGTCAGCAAAGATCAACAGAACAAACGGATGCTCTGAAGTGGGAGGCGAATGCAGTCAGGGAGTGAAAGGTGAGCCAGGGGTGGCTGCGGCAGGAGGGAGACTATGGCCACCCTAGGTGGACATCTGCCTACCGGGATCCTTTGTAAACTGCAGAGGTAAAGAGAGCAAGTTTGAGATGGACGCCAACCAACCTTTAGCAGCACAGGCTCGTCTTCACCTTGAGCGCTCACAAACAGCTGGGTGTTTGAGAGTTTTAGGGTAACAGGATATTTAGACTCGTCCGATGACGAGTAGGCGTACATGTCAAATTTTACTGTAAAAGAAAAAGCCAGAAAGAAAGTAAATCCACTATTTTTTAATATAAAAAGAGGTGTTTAGATAGGTGTGTGTGTGTGTGTGTGTGTGTGTGTGTGTGTGTGTGTGTGTAAGTAAGTAAAAGTAGGCCCCCAACTCTGGTATAAATGAATACACCATATTTATTTGTGGAGGTCAGGAGTGGAGTTTTATACATTGTTGTGTCCTTTACAACGTCTCTGCTGTAAATAATGCTTTTAAAGCTTTCTATTTGAGTAGAATGCTTAAGGACCAGATTCTTGCCGAATCTCTTACAATTACAATAGTGGAATAAGACCTTGACATTTGTTGGTTTATGAGTTCCTAATGGCTTAAATTGGAGCAATCTAAGACACCCCCCCCCCCAACACACAGACGTCCAGCACAGTAAAATGACTGGCTGCTTTAGTACCACTAGAAATGTAAATAGGAACCATAGGGGCAGGAGTTGTGGTCAGTGACAGAGCACTTGCTTCCTGCGTATCTGGCTTGCTTTTGATTTCTTGCACCAAAAAAACAGGTGTGTGTGTGTGTGTTGGGTGGGGATGCATAGACTAAGTCGATACGTGAGGGAAACTATGCTAAATAGGAAATAGAATACACGGCAATTCGCCAATGTCACAGTAGAAAGCATGGCAACCACAGTGCACGGTGTCTCTAAGCAGAAAGAACCCTGCCTGCTCACTATAAAGTTGCTGCCGGGGTTCTTTAAAAATAATTTGAAAATAATTTTGTATATTGATGATGCATTATGCATCTAAAGCAGGTTTATTGTAGAAGCTGGGTCTGCGTAACAAGAAATTTTAGACACTGAATTTCGTTCTTCAGATTCCACTGCTGTTAGGGGCTTTCCGATCAGATTAGCAAGCTCTTCCTAACTGCAAGCTAGTTGTAAGCTTGGTCCCCAAGTTGTAAGCTTGCGCCTCATTAGCTTCTGGGTAAGTCATTAAATATTTGTGAATCCAGTTTTCTCTTCTTTAAAATCAGAATAGGGAGGTTGTGTTGAGACTGTCTATGAGCACCAAAGAGACGGCACATCAGAAAGTTCTCTGTGCTCTGTAGTGAGCTCAGCCAGGAAGCTGCTCTCTGGTGGTACAGATCTGGATGCTACGCTGTCCTTTCCAGGGATTCTTGGTGGGGGTGGGCTGTTTCTTTATGTTCTAGAAGAATCACGCAACGCCAGGGTGATAGATAGGTTTGTGCTTTAGAAGCGGAAAGTTTGAACGAAACAAAGAAAGCCAAGGAGGGGAGGAGGGACAGGGTGGCCGTTTACCTTCGTGTTGCAGGTCGGTTAGTGACACAGCTCTGAGATGCACCTTGTCCACATCCAGGCATATGTTTTGATTGAGGGAATCATTCATGACAAAATTCGACTTGACAAGCCTGAGCTGCGTGTATATCTCATTATTCTGGAAGACGTGAGGTGCTGAATCTGACTGGATGGTCTCTAGAATCAGTAACACAAATTCAGGTTGTGGCCTAGTGACAAGTATAGATGTTGTACACATGCTAACACAAGCATCAGATGTAGCTGTGGGAGAGACTGTAGGGGTATCCAAGCCAGGTGGAACAGCCAGAGTTGAAATCAATCAGCAGAAGGCTTGATTCCAGCTAAGGTTTTTCTTATAGTTATTTCTTAATTTTGTTTTTTTTTTTGTAAACCAATTTATAAGACAATACTTTTATTTTACTTTTTAAAAGAGTTCTCGAGAAACTTTTATGTTTTTGTACTTTTCTTTCTCTCATTATGAAACCCTGGCTGACTTGGAATTCACTCTACAGACAAGAATAGTCTCGAACTCACAGAGATTCTCCCACCTCTGCTGCCCACTGCGATTAATTAAATAATAAACAGCTACCATGCCTGACTCTGTTAGCAGTTTTCCAAGTGACAAGGAAGACTACAAATATTCCCGATCTATATTTTTCAGATGAATGTATGCTAAGAGTAAATGTGTTAAAATGGTATACCACAGTGATATATCCCCACTATATGTAATACATATGTTACATATATATGTGCCAAAGGTACAAGTCTACCATCTTCCTGGAATGTGTATGTATGAGTAGCTTCATTAATCTTCAGGTTCTGAGTAATTTCACTTCTAGGATGCTGTCCTAAGGAAATGAATGGGGACAGAAATGTTTATTGTCACTTCAAGTGTTGAAAAATTTGTCCGTAGAATGTCTATAATATATCAAAATGTTGGACATGTTTGCACTTGTGTGCATCTGCATGTACCAAAGACTTTAAGGAAACACGCCATGGTGTTGGTAGGGTTAAAACCTGGGTTACAAAACTGAGTGACTGTTAATATTCTTTCTTATGTCTTGTTTTATTTTAATTTTTTTTCTAGGTGGAGAAGTATTTGTTGTCTAGGTTTTATATTAAAATGAATACTTGGTTTGAATTTCCTGTGGAGGAATGAATAACAAAGACATGAAAGAAAAATCCAGGGTTCTCATAGTCAGGTCGGACGGAATTAGCTGTGAGGGTTTCCCACGCGGAGACTGAGCCTCATTTCCTCATATATAAAAGGAGAGGGAAGGTTGTTTTGCAGCCTACAAAGAGTGCAGTCATCAATAAATTAGTAGTGGTGCAACATTTACAAAGGCAATGGGAGCAATAATAACAATGGCTGACATTTCTTGGGTGATGATGTCATATTAGACATTCTAGTCTAAATGTTTTGAAGTACTGGCTTATTTAATCTTTACAGGAACCCAGTGAGGTGTAAGACTTGGTCATCTCTATTCACAGAATGGGGAACTGGAGGCCAGAGAGACTGAGGAACATGACTAAGGAGGTGGCACTAGTAGAGATCATGAGCTAATGGACTGGGACTGCTTTCTCTCCAACCAAAGGTCTTTACTTGACCTTCACAATACAGCCAAGAAAGGAGCCCTTGCGTAAGTGTTCTACACTCAGGCTGCCTTTGAACTCTTGGAGTTCCCTTGGAGAAGAGCAACGTTTAGGTTTTCTTTGTTATAGTTATCGAGCTAATGTCTGGTTGTTTTCCTGTTATTTTGGTTCCTGGTTTTATTTTCTTTCTACTCCATTGTCGCCATTCGCCAGTTATGCTTTATCCCTTACCTTCTAAATTATGGGTCATGGCCTCCAGGTCATCTTCAGCAAAGACCCGATCGAAACCCAGCCGCCTCTTCTTCAGAATCTTCCCTTGGTTTGATGTCGCTGCTACCATCACCCGGCTCTCCTCAAAGGTGAAGTTGGACATCTTTGAGGTTTCGGAAGCTCTCAGAGACACAAATTTGTCCGTGCATTTCTCATGAAGTGAGCCATAGCTTGCCTCATAGAAGGATTTCTGTGAGGAAGGGAAATGGCACCTGAGAACTTACCTATGACCTTGTGAGAGACTCTTTAGTAGAGACTCTGTATCGTATCCTTCAGACTTAGTGAGGGGGATCTCCATTCTGGCTGTGGGGAACCAACCTGTGCTTCATCCCCCACTCTCCCTCATCCTCCACTGCCCTTCCTTCCCTCTCGCTCCATTCCTTCTTTTCTCCTTTTTTGGATTTTCCTGAAGTCATATGATTTGGGGTGGGGAAGGTCTTTTCGTCTATCTTTAGGCTCAAAACTAAAACATTTTGATGACATAGGTTAATACATGATCCTGGTGAATGAGATCCTTCCATCAAGAGATCTCACATCTACTTGAGAGTGCTCAAAATATTCTGGCCCCCTGTATTGCCTGCTCAAATTCAACCAACTTGAAGATTCAAAATATATTTTTTAAAAATAAATGACATCTGTACTGAATATGTGAATCCTTTTATCATTACTTCCTGAATAATGTAGTCACTGATTGACAAGTATAACTTAGAATTATTCCCATAGCATTGGCATTGTGGCAGGTGTGGCTAAGTCACCGACATATGATTTAAAGTCATTTGAGAATGCATGCATATTTTATACAAATAGAAGGCCATTTATTATAAGGGACTTGGACATCTGCAGAAGGTGATCTCCCTGGGGGGGGGGGGGCTTGCAATCCAGCCCCCATGGATGCCTTCGGCACAGCTGTTGTTCTGAAAGGAGATTTTAAACCTGCTATCACAGATACACAAAATAACTCACTGAGTGTGTACAACATTTTCCCTTCCTTATCGCTAGCTTCCTCCACCTCATCTCTGTGGGCTATCAGGCTATCTCTGACCTCTGGTGTTCGTGTCAGAGAATGACGTCAGCAAGACTCCAGGTGAGGTGGACTGAAGCAACTGGCTAAGGATGACAAAATTAACATTTTGAAGGAACCTGGCCCAGGAACAAGGGTTTCAGGTAGCTTTTCTCTGTTATGGAAGAGTCCATGAACATGAGGAACGCCAGTTAACGACTAGGTTAGAGAGGTAAGTGGTCTCATGAATAAAAAAATAAAAGTATTTTAGACTCTAGTGAGGTTGAAACAAACCCTCGCTGTGCTTTTCTGGTAGAGGGGCTGGTGTGTAAAGAGAAAAAGAGAAAATCCCGCTCTGTAAGGATGAGAATCACGGACTTACCTGATTCAGAGAGAGGTCGTCAAGGGCAGAATTGTATTCTTCATTTTCACTGTCAAAAACATAGAACGAGACTGTATTTTTGTTCATCATTTTACTATGGTTGGTAGGTATACATATTTCAATGGCCGCATTAACTTTAGGTAATACAGGCAACATTCCTGAATACTGATTTAGACACAGGCACTATTGAGTCCGAGTCTCTAACCCAGCAAGGGGTTTTAGTGGATGTTTAAGAGTTACTCCATTTTTAGCAGAACCTGATCCCGGTCAGGATGAGAATCGGCTCTACAGTAACCTGGTCACATGAACACACCCACACCCACCATTACTCTTATCTTTGAAAAGCTAAAGACTTCTACATAGTCATGTCTACACACATAGTAATTCATTTGTCACTAATTTGGAATTAGAAATTATTAAAACAGCTTTGTGCTTTATCTGTAAAAAGAATTAGGCATGACTAATAAATCAAAGAGTCTTAATTGGCTGAAACTCCTTAGAAGAAAAGAGAAATGTCGGAAGCACCACAGACACACGTCACACTCACTAAAGCAGATTTCGTATTGGACAGGAGCCAAGCAATATTTTGTAGCCTCATTATCACTAACATTAATCGTAAACAACAAGAACATCACGTTAGTTAAGAATGTTCTAGAATTTCAGCTCTGCTCATTTATCTTCTCTATCAAGTTGAAGCTTGACTGTGGGTGTGAGTTCACATGCCCAAGAGCCGTTTCCTCCTCCTGACTGGGATCAGGGTCTCCCGAGAGTGAATTCTCTCATACAGTCCGTGAGAACCTGCTGCTGAGGCAGGGCACACCAACTCTTTAGCGTGCCTAAGCTGATGCCGGTATAAAATTACACTGGAGTCAGTATGCAGCAAAAATATTCTTCTGTAATTTCTATTTCTCTCAATGAAATACCAGTTTTAGCATGTTGGATGCCTCGTCTTTTTAGGTCTTCTCTAGTCTGGCCTGACAACATGGCTCCTGGCTGGCTGTTTTAACTCCTAGCTAGGTTCATTGAATCACAAAAAGTAGAATGTGTTTCTTACCTATAACAGTTCTTCAGGTCTTCAAACAAATCAGGAACTTTGGCCATCTTGACTTCTACAAGAGAACAGCAGTGACTGTCAGCTCCCCACCTCTGAACCCCGTGCTCGCAAGGGTGGTGACCCTGCTTTGCTGTTCTTGAGAAACTCCAGTGAGTGGCTGACTTTTCACGTGCCCAGCTTCTCCTCTATTCTGCTCCACATTTCCCTCCATTATCTGTGTACGCTCTGGTCCCCTCTACCAGCTTGGACATTCGCTTTAGAATGTTTTCTCTGTCCTGGTATTGTTTGTGTCCTGCCCATCTCGTCACACTAGTAGGCATTCAATGAAAGGTGGCTAGGAAAAGGAAAAGAATGTAAACCACCCGAGGGAGGTATCCACCTTAAGCAGAGGCCAGGGAGAAACAGAGTGGGAACCTGCAGATCTTTCTCATTTTTGTCACTAGAGATTTCCTATCTCCAGGAAAAGAAATCCTGTCCAGCTGCTCCCTCGGTTCCTTATCACTAGAAAGAGAATTCTTCCCTCAGTCTGTGATCCCAGCTCACACACCAAATCAGGAACAACGAGAGAAGAAAAGACAGCATTCCATAGCCTTACAGAAGGTGCCTAGAGAGAAGACAGTCAAGGAGCAAACAAAAGACAATTTCCACAGCCTCAGATGCGATAAGGACAATACCTTGGCCGACACGAGCGCCAGTGAGGTGACTCCTTCTGTGCCCCGAGACTTCTGTGCCTGAGTCAGGCTGCTCTGTCTTTTTATAATCATCTCCCTCAGTAGGTGTGGCCATGAGTGTGTCACTGGGAATTTACAGGAAGTCATACTGCTTTATATCTTTCTAGGTTCACACTTGATAGTGGCCAACATGCAAACTAGACACTTGGTCATAATGCTGCTTGCAAAGATTCCAGGGGCTGTTGACTTGGTTCATGTGCTCATGGCTTGTTCCACCCCACTGCAAATGTGCAGCCGTACAAAAAGAGAAGAGCAGCAGGAAGCTCACCAAGATCCTAAAAGCATTCGGTGGAGGATGAGGGCAGAAATCCTCCAATCAGAGGGCTCAACTGGGTAGGATGGCAGCTTCAGGGGTACACTAATTCGTTCACTGTGCCCCAGGACTGAGTATGGGCAGGCAGGATAATTTGCAGCTAAGGCATGGTGTCTGAGGCAAAATGAGGTTTCCCTCTCCCTTCTGAAGAGGAAGCTTTGCTTGAATAAGTCAGCAGTCTGAGTATGGAACAACAGCCTTATGGTTAGAGGGTAAGGGCGGTAAAAGCGCCATTGACCATAAAGGTCTGAGTCTTTTTACTCCTTTGAATAATGTCAGCACATTTCCTACAGAGATCACAGCATCAGGAGAGAACTCTCAGCCTCAGCCACGTCATGGTACGTGACCCTGTCCCACTACCTAATGACAAGGTCTTGTTTCCCTAAGAATAGATCAGAGCTGGACAAGGATAGCTGCCCACTTCTGCAGGCAGGGACAAAGCCATAGATGGGAGAGTAGAGGCAGTAGGGAAGGAAGGTATGGATTCTTATCTATGACATGGAAACAGCATTGTCTGGTCATCTTTATTAGAGACAGTACCTAGAGGCCAGTCCAGTTCAGGTGGCAAAACACAAAACTCTCAGGAAAGCAGTGTCTCCGCTCTCCTAGTTGGCATTAAAGTAACTTAAATTTTAAAAAAAAGGAAGTGGGTGGTAGACAAGAAAAGAAAAAGAAATGGCAAAGAGAGAAAGGCAAGCCCCAGGAACCACCGGAACACGGGATCAAAAGAAGTAAAGAAGCTTCTGTGAGTTGGATGAAGCAATTCCCTCTGGTTCTGTTTAGTCACAAAGAATGGAGCTGTTTAGATGTTCACTGGTTCTATTGCTTATGGAGACTCTCCAGTTCCAATTCTGCCGCCCAGCCTGCCCCTCCTTCTGCTGTATTTATAAACAGGAGTCAAAACTGAGTGGCATCAGAAATGAAGATAGAATAAGCGCCAAAGAAGTTTGGAGTCAAAGTGTGGGTGTCCCTAAACAGAGCTGCTGTGAGCAGCGACGGCGGCCAGCTAACTCCACATCTCTGCTTCCCTTAGTTCCCTTTAGGCGATACAGAAATGTTAATCTTGTCATGTTCTGCCTGTCGGACATCTTGTGAGGACAATCACTAAGAAACAATTGCGAGGCGCACTGTGAGTGTGGGCTGCTATGGAGATGCACCTAAACACAAATAATGACACTAATGACGGCTCCAGGCACTCGAGCGTCTGTAGAGTCATCACTGTGAAGCCTTAGTTCACAAAGGAAAGCAGACATCTTAGGAAAATAGGGCTTTGAAAACTTCAACAGGGAAGCCATTTTCAAGCAAAGGCCACCGTGGAAGCACTGATGCCACCACCGGGTTTCTGAGAACAATGCGGAGAGCTCTTTGGCAATCTGGGAAAGCACCTTCGTTCTACCATCTGTAGCAACACCCAGCCCAGCTCCATCTCATTCCTGTGTTGGAGAGAAATCCCCAGATGAGAGTTTGGTTGAGAAACAGCCCATTTGGGTCAGTGTCTTTCTCAGCCTATTCATTCACATGACCTTCTTGGAAAGTGGCTTTAAAGAGAAAAGACAGGGCAGGCAGTTCAGAGAGGGAGAGCTCCGCGCTTGAGCTTCCCCTCCCGGGAGTGTACATCAAGGGCGGCTAAACCAGCTCTTTTAGGGAAGCGGCGGAGAAATGCATTGGGTTGGGCTTTGCTGAGCGTGATGTATTTGGCTCAGAGCTTTGTAAATAATTCAGAGAAAACATTGTGCACTTATTCTGTACCACAGGCTTTGCTGTACACCAACATTTTCCTTTCAGGAGTCACAAAATTAAGCATGCACGATTCAAGATGACCTGTGTTGGTATGTGAATATGCTTTGTAAGCCCAGATGCTATGCCTCCAAAGGGTCTGTCTGTCTGTCTCTTTCCTTCATCCTTCCACCCCATCCCTTTTCTCTCTCTGTCTTCTGTTCTTGATGGGGTCTCACTATGCACCTGAGTCTGCTCTCAAACTTTTGCTTATCCGGCCTCATCTTCCCGAGTGCTGGAATTTTAGGCATAGCCACAGCCTGGACTCAAAACTCGGAATTCTGATTCTAAGTCAGATCTCATTTGCCGCCTGACCCCTAAAATGCGTTGTCACCACCACCAAGTGACAAAGGCTGAAATGCTTCATCTTTAGTGATTCCAGGGTTTTATAAAAACGAAAGACAGTCTGTGGGGAGAATAGCTCAGAAGCTAAAAGTGATTTCTGGAAGAGTAAGTGGACCAGAGTTCAGATAGCCATAACTCATGTAAATTCTGGGTGGCCATGGCAGCCTGTTTGTAACTCCGGCATCAGAAAGTAGAGCGAGGGAATCCGGAGCAATGGGGCTAGCTAGATTAACCATTTCTGCAAGCTCTGGGTCTCAAACAGTAAGACGAAAGATGCCTGAGGAAGATTTCTGTTACCAACCCCTGACCTCAGCACTCACACTCACATAAAGTGTATGTATGTGTGCTCACACAATGCACTCCCCAATACAATGCAAACAAACAAACCCCAAAGATCAGAAGGATTTTCCCCTTTCTCCCTTCTATACTGTGGCACTCTGAAAGCAGAAGGAAGGCTTCCAGTATGACCGGATAATGCTACGCAGTGGAACATGGCTGTGAACTCAGGCAGGTCTTGCCAATGTACCATGAAGATGGGAAACACGCGACAACCTTAGAACCTACTTTAAAATTAGCACATGATACCTGGATGTGAAAGAAATCCCTTGAATGCAGACAGAAGCACAACTCTGGATTTTTCTGGGGGGAAAATTGTCCTTCTGTGTCCCTGAGCACTGTATGGCTAAATTCAACCCACCATAGGCAGAAATACTTGCAGGTGGGGGAAGGAGAAGAATCATATTGAACGATACAGATATTGTTACTGTATTGTATCTGTATTGTCATCATTCTGCAGACAATACAGTGTAACGGCTTTCTACAGAGCATCCACACCACATTAGGTGTTATAAGAGATACAGAAACGATTCGAGGCATATGGGAGGTATGTAGAGGTTATGTGAGGGCAAAGTTATGCTCTATCAGGGATATGAGAGTTTACAGAGTTTGTCATTCTTGAGAGGGTAGGGATCCTGTAATTAACTATTTGCCTGTGGACCTTGTCAGAGGACACGTTTCTCCTCAGGTGACAGGGAACCCGTTCAGAGGAGTAAGATGCGAAGAGCCAAGGGAACTTTACAGGTGCCATTCATGCCCTACTTAGTTTTAATCCTCTTTTAAATTCCACAACAGTTAGGGGAGGAGGAAAGGATGTCCATAATGCCCTATTGGCTTCCAGGTTTTACGATACATTATCTCATTTAATCTTATTATCAGACCAGAGAAGTAGGTAATTCCGGCACAGTTTGCAGAAGAGGAAGTGCAGTTCTAGCAAAGTTAAGTAATCCCCCCTGAGGTTGCGAGCTTCAGCAGGTTGCGGAAATGGGATTCAGACATGAGTCTACACTCAACCACAAGGCTATCTCTGTGTCTTAATGTAGTCTCCCTTGCTCTTTCTCCCTCCCCCTCTGCTTTCTGGTTCTCTTTTAAATGAAGTTTTACTCTTTCTACTTGGTCTATAGGGAGTCCTAGAGTTACATGTTCCGGGGGACTACTTTGGAGACCAATTACTTTAAACTCTGCTAAAAGACCTTAGGCTTAGATGGAGACTACAGAAGAGCAGGAAATAACATGAAAACTCAGCTCTTGATTCTGTCCTACAATATCCTACTTCTGGAGGACTAAGGCTCTGCAGTAAAGTGTTAAATATTGCTGTGTTAGAGAAATATATAAAAAAATAAAGTAAAGCCCTCAGGAAATGTAATAACTAGGAGTAATTATTCTTATTTATTTTTATTGTTTCATCAAGCCTTTATGCATTTAAGGCTCATGTAGATGCTTTTTGAGATAATTGGAATACTCCAAAATCTTTTGATGTTTGCTTTCCTGGAATCAATGTATGGTAGCTAATTGCTCACTAAGTATCCATCCGCTCGTATGTGGGATTGCCTGGTGAATGTCTGTCTTCCTGGTCTCCTTTGAAGTTAGACTGAGGACACAGGGCAAACTCTGGCTAGCAAACGGAAAGCAGGAAGTGATTGATGTTCTGCTGATGCAACGAGGGCCTTCATCATACTCAACTTCCCTTGATGCGGCAACCATGGGAGTCACGTGTTCCAGATACGTAAAGGTATGGGTAAAGGTATGAGATTAGTTAGAAACACCTGCTCTCGACTTTGCGTGTGTGAGAAACACAGCTTTGGTTTGGGTAAATGACTGAGATTTCCGTTTGTTTCTGTGGTAAAACCAGACCTATGCTGACTAATGTTGTGTGTGTGTCTCATTCCCTTCTTCACCACAGACCAGGATGACATATATTCTCTTAAAATTCCTCTCTCACACAATCAATTTTGTCTTGGACAGCATTGTGTCTCCATTCGCATTCTTCCCATAATGCTCGCTGCCCTCTGGGAGAGGGACTTTCCAGTAAGACAAGTCAACATCCTAACTAGATGATTACAGTGGGGCTAAATTTGGATTTCAGAGGTAAGGATAAATTGGCTGCGAGAACAAAGTGGGTGATAATAAAGTTGGCAGTATTGAATAGGTCAGACAAATAAAATAATCTAATACTTACGTAGTGTTTTATGTTTTTTCAAAGTATTTAAACATTTTTATGTGTGTATAATGCATTTGTATGTATGTGTGCATGTGTGTATGTATGTGTTCACGTGTGTATGCATGTGTGTATGTGTGTATTCACATGTGCACGCCTGCATTCATGTAAGTGCTACTGCATACCTGAAAGAGACCAGAGGGCCATTTTGGGAGTCAGTCTTTCCTTTTGCTTACTTTGAGATAGGGTTCCTTTCTTGTTTTGTTCCTGTGTCCTCCTGGCTAGTTGGTCCGTGAGCCTCCAGAGATCACCCGTGTCGGCTCATCTTGCTGTAGGCATGCTGATATTACATACATGTGTTATCATACCCAACTTTATATGGGTTCTGGGAGTTCAAACTCAGATCCTCATGCTTGAGTGACAGACAGTGCTTTATCCACTGAGCCATTCCCCAGACCTCAAGATATTTTTACATAGAAATATAAG